TTTTGTATGTGTTTCTTGGCTGGCAGGTAGGCTAGGCTGAGGAGGATTTTCTTTACTGTTGATGGCTTTGTACTTAGTATTCGCATTAGGGCATGGCGTGGGCATGTTTGAGGTATGGGATCAGAGGTTTAGTTAGTTCATAGTTAGTGCTATCTGGGTTGTGCTAACCTGGGGACCCGACCCTGGAGCTTGTCATATGCCAGTGTTAACAGTATGAGTTTAAATAAAATTAGCTTGGCTTCTAAGTACTTTTCCTACTTATTACTTTAACCAATACAAAACACCTTTATGCTCTTTATTATTATTACAACCTCTGTTGCTATTACGATGAGAATACTCTACACAAGGAAAAGTTACAGAAAGCTTACAATAGGCATTACAGATAGAAGACATTTTTCTTGTACTATCAGTAACATAGGCATAGGCCTAAGAGCTATAGTACAGCAAAAGAAGGAAAGAAAGATTATTCCCTATCACCATGAACTAACTATGATAAGAGGGATCATTACAACTAGACTCTGGTTATAATAGGATGGATGCAAATGTATTGGTTTCTCATCGAGATTTTTTTTCATTCGATACCATATCTTAGTACGAAAAGATCCTGTTACTTACAGTCAATAGCAAAGCCATCACATCTTTGAAGCCTAGTAACTCTCTGGGTAGTTGTCAGATTTACTTTATTCTACTTCCCAGACCTAGTCAAGGGTCCCCTTTTATATATCCTACAACTGAAATCTGGTTAGACAGATGAGAGTGACATATACAGTATTATTCTTATATTTTTCAATTTTGTAGTATTATAGTCACAGGACACAATTTAGATCAATATGTATGATAATGTGCGGGCCCTGTTATGAAGCCAGAGGGGGGTATTGGAGACCAGTGATTCCAATTCCTAGTGGGGTTACCCTACTTAAGGTAGTTCCTAGGAATCTGATCCCAGTATTCCTAACTGTAAATTTAAAGATAATAGTGTCAGGAATTTTAGCTTTGCACTATTAGAAAGCTAGTATTGAGTAGATTAAGCTTGTAATGTCCTAGACTGGGTATTAAAGTAATCAGAAAGTAATCTGATGTCAAAGTCGGCACCTCACAAAAATACAAAATAACCTTTAACTACTTAGAAACTCACATTAAACAGATATTCTTTTATTTATTAGAAAGCTGAGGTTAAGTAGAACATTGTTTTAAATGATTAACTTTAATAGTATAGGAACAAATAAGAAATAGTAGTTAACGGACCTGTAATTAATATTCTTACTGTAATGTTGTGTAGTTATTATTAAAATAAATGTGTCTTAAAAAAAATCAATGAAATATTTGAGTCACCACCCACTCCAGAAATCACAACTATCACTCACTTTTATATTCAAATGATAGTTCATTTGATTCTTACTTTCATCAAGAGACTATATTAAATAGAATTTAGTGCTACACATTTCCTATTTCTCTAACTATGTTTAGATTTAATTCTAATACCCTGTTGAGATACTAATACTCAGTATATAGCTTATAGTTATTATCAAAACTGGCTAGAGTATTGCTTCAGGATATTACCAAGGTTCATGGTTTACTGAGCCAAATCTAAAGGCGAAACTTAGCACATCCTCACTTAAGATGTACTCTGAATATGCAGCATGTAACTGGATACTCAGAACATCCAGGTCACATAGGATACAAGTAATAGAATATTTGCCTCAAGATATACTGCTACTGCATCTGCTCCAGCATTTTTATTTTACTAATACATGCATGCTGCAAGCTCTTTAGCATCAAAGAGATATTTATTTTATATTTAATGCCGTAATTTTGATTACTCTGCCTTTTATCTTGCCTACTAATGACTTCCTAAAACCTGAAACTCGTAGATCATAGCTGTAATATTTGGCTTATCACATTCAAATAACTTTTAACAAGGATCTTTGATTCTGTACTCAATATCATTGTAATTTTCAGACATTAATACAGTATTCTAGAGGTACTACTAGGAGGTTAAAATCTCTGCAGATAGAAAAATCTGATGTTAAACTAATATCTTATATTGAGCAGAGATGCACTTCATAGACTTGCTATAAGATTTAAAATTACTACAATATTTGGACTTGCATACTGTTTAACAATTGGCAGAAACCTTGGCCTGGTTGCCTATAAAGTTTAGCAACAAAAAAGTTATATTAAGCTACAAAAAAGTCATGTTGAACTGGCAGGTTCTTTCTAGAGTGCTCTAAGTTGTGAGCAAGCAAGTCACCAAGAGTTGTAGCTAGAAGCCACAATCTTGGTACAAGTAATTGTAATAAAAAAACTATTGTAAAGTTTAATAAAGAAGTTCATGCCAATAAAGATCTCATCTTGGAATGGATTAATGAGTAAGAGTCAACTAATTTCTACCTTACTGTTAGGAACATGTAATTATGAGACTGGTAGTTTTCAACAAAACCCTGGATGTTTTATCCCGACTCAGAGAAAATAACATTACTCCCTCCTGCATTCCTATGTGATGTACTAGTTTAGTTTAAGTTCTTGATATTTCCATTAATAGATTATTCAAAAACTATTTAAAAGATACAATGGATAAACTGTTTGAATGTGTACACATCCAAAGTGATCAAGTACTTACAAGTTCAGATAGTAGAAGAGAAGATGCATTTACTGGTAGTCCAATTGATGGAATTATTTCTGTGCTAGGTCTACGCCGGATTTTGCTTACTTGTACTGTTGGTAGAGCATGTGAGCCCTTCCAGGAACAGTGACAAAAGGAGATTATTATTAAGTGTTTTCAGCAGTAAGTTCACTTTAAATTTCTTTAATATTTCTAACATATGTATAGTAATTATACATATACTAGTTGTACAGATTAGGACTTTCATTACCAATCGATAGTAGTTTTGATAAAGAGCTACGAGTGAAAGGATTATCGGATGATGAGTTAGTTATTATAGATTGGAATTCGCCGAGCATATCAACAGCAGTTACTAGCACAGCACAAGAGGAGAAATTGAATAGGGAGGAGGATGACAACAAAGGAGTCTTTTTTTTTGAATTAGATGGATCAATTATCCAGGTTGGACGAAGAACGCGAGTACCAAAACCATCCGGAGGTGTTGTGAGCGCCGTTGCAGCGGCACCTGCTACTACGAGTTCCACAGCTAGTTAACCTCGACGACAAATTATCATACCTGCTCAGGACGAGGAAAGCTAGGACACAATAAGAGAACATATTCTAGCTAGCAAAAGTATTAGCTTAGAGGATAGAAGTATTTCTGTTTTTTTCGTAAAAGATTTCATGACTTAACGCCAGTTGTTTCAATTCTTCATTATATGTTTGTTTCAGTTTAGGCTAGACCAATATCAAAACATCCTAGTCCAGGCCAGTTCATTAAAAGCGAGTTTTTACGGTATCCGCTGCTATCGAGCGTGCGAAGACTTTGCGGACACGACTGTACGAGTAACTTACGTGCATGTATTCTCTCCCAGCAGCTGGCTAGAGTTGGTGCACCAGTACGGTTGTCCCCGGCGCGTTCGAGTATGGTGCTCGTGCCGGAGTGGATTTGATTGAGGACGCAAGTTTAGAAACAAGTGGCTCAACAATGATCGTCCAATAGAAAACGGTACAGCACTCGAGCACTCGTACCATGCAGCAAGGTTGGGTGTTTCTGCTGTATGCTACTAGTGCTTGCGATTTACTAGCAATGTTCAAAAGTCCGAGGAATGGGATGTAAAAACAAGCGATTCGGCTGTGATGCGATCCGCGGCTGCACGCGAACCGGGCTTTGCAGGAACTACCGTAACCCGGGCTTAAGGGGATGCGCCGGCAACTCACGTTTAAGAGACCCACGGTAAGGGAGGAGGGGCTGGTGGTACTATACTATCCTCGGGCTTTACTGCTTTTTGGCTCGCCCACGGCCTTGGCGGGTTTGAATGCATCTTGATCGTCAACACAAGCTTTCCGATGAGTACTCGGCTGTCAGGAGGGTGTGTGGCGGGTGACAGCAGTTGCGGTCAGAATACGGTATGTTCGAGGAAAATTAACCTCTCGACAGTTGTTCTGGGTGCAGAGAGGGGAGGGATTCTCCCACTAATTTATTATTTTCGGCCGCCAAGTGGAGATTAGGCCAGCTTTGGGTCGGAGTGTTTAGAATTCGGTGGGTAGTTGCAGTTGCAGTCGGTTCTTGTACTCGTACTATACTGTGCTCGCGTACTGTACATGGAGAGAGAAACGGGCAATTGGTATCATATTTGAGGTGCCCCTGCTTTTTGATGGGAAGAAGTGAGAAATGGAGATCTCAGATCCATGATGTCTGACAGATTAGGGCGATAAGGAGGTTGCTATGCCGGGGTGTTTTCCCGGGACGCTGCAAGGTAAATTGCGAGCATTGGTACAGTACTGTGCCCGTAAGCTACAGTCGTGTCTTATCAGTTCTCGCAGTCGCTGGCAACGGCACCATTCCACAGCTCAAATCAATTGACGATACGAATTTATGGATAATAACTCCATAAAGTGAGAGGCGACAGAAAATCCTCTACTGCATAATAAGGAGCGTGGGATAAAATGCGTGAGTGTCTTACAAATTGTGGCTTTGAGGGAACAGCTCCTTGTGCTGACAAGCCACGTTCGGCCAATTGCAGGGGTGAAGCTTTAGATAGATTCTTCGTCAAGGAGAGTCGCCAACAATTCCCTACTTGTTCTGGGTTGTTTTTTTCGGGGGTTTTTTTTTTCAGCTGTCCTTCCTTTCTACTCGTACTTGTATGTGTTGAGTCGCCTCTACTCGAGTAGTTTACCCTCTCTGGTCCAGAGCTGACCACACTGGCTCTACTCACATCTTTATTTCTCTTGATCTTGAATGATTATTTTTTCTTTCCCTCTCGCATTCCCCCCTGTGCTCCTCCTCCTTCTTCCCCTTGCGCTCCGCAACGCCTGCTCGCCGATTCATCACCCCCAATCGCCGTTTCCCGACACCTGGCCTCTTTAGGTCTGGCCGCAATCACCACAGTCTTTAATGGCTTCCAATAGCCGCAACCCGAGCAAACCCCCTTCTCCTGAGCCTATACCCCTGCAAGACCTTTCACGGCCTCCTGACAGTCAGCAATCGGGTTCTGGCGACACCGGTTTGAGCTATGGTGTCGGGAGGTCGCGATCTTTGTTACGGGGAACAACAAATTTGGGAGCTGAGATTGGGAGGAGGATCTCATTGCATAGGCATAGGGGGAGTTATGATAGAGTGCCGGAGGAGAGATTGCCGCCAAGGCTGGAGGTTCCCGATTTACAGCTTCCTCAATACGACGATGGGGAAATGGAGGAGCCAAATGTTGTTGAGTTTGCAGAAGGATTTGTGGATGCTTCGGGAGAGCGAAGGGGTGGGAGGAGTGGTAGCTGGTTACCCCCTCGGAACCTGGAGCGAACGATATCGCCATGGGCTGTATCGGACGACGATGAGCCTCCACCAGTTCGCCCATATTACGGCGTTGGCGACGATGATACCGCTAGACTGACAGACCCGAGCAATGTGCAACCGATGAGTAGATCCGATTCGAGTCTTGGGCATAGGAGGCAGCAATCGAGTCGATCAATGAGGTTTGGACCTGGACCCTCATTGGGCGATGATTTACTTTCCGCTGAAGAGGGTATGAACTCGGGTGTGAGCAAAATGAAGGGGGGGACACGCTCAAGGTCTGGGTCTGTTGCTGGCGGAACTCCATCCAGGTCTGGATCGTTGTCGAAAAGCCGATCCTTGTCACCTGGAGCATCCCCGGTGAGGCGGGTTTCTGTCGCTGTCCAGAATATGTCGCAGCGAGTAGTTGGTCTTAGCAATGATCCGGAAGCTGTCATCCAGGGCCTACGTCGAAGGAGTTCTTCAAAATCCCATGCCGATGGACCAGTCCGCCCTAATATACCTGCCATCCAAATCCACCCTCAAGATGACATTGACACCTCCGATGCTGAGGAAAAGCCCACCACCCCTCTTAGAAGGCCAGCACCTAGCCCAGGCGGGGGCCCATGGCGTGTTAATTCCAATCCGCTGAGGGGAAATACCTTGCGGATTTTTTCTCCGTCTAATCCTTTGCGACTTTTCTTATGTGATGTTCTAGTTCACCCGTGAGCCACCTATCTTAGGCCGTAACTTTGACATTTAGTTGTAACTTACATAAACCTAGTGCTACCGAACCGTTAATTCTGCTTTTAATATTAATACAAACCATTCTCCTCGCTATTGACGCCGCACCCAGTATTTATGAAGATCCTCGATCTAAGAGTTGGGGAACTTCAAACATCGACTATGCTTTACTTGTGCTTTTTAGTATTTATACGTAAGAAATGACCCTTCATTTACCTCCGTGAAAGTTGTCTGATATCAGCAAGGGTTGAAATTATCGCTCGATGCATTGTTTCGGGGGTGTTCCTAAATCCTCGGGCAGAAAACGATCCGAAGGGGAGAGGCGAACTTCGCCGCCGGGTAATGGAGGGCACTCACAAGCTGCTATCACCTAGGAGGAAACCGTCTGTCAGGGCCCCATCGCCATCACGCCTTGAACAACCTCCGTCCCTTCTGCGGTCACTCACGAGTAACTTACAACTCGCCGATCGCGCTATTCCAGTAGATGGTCAGTGCCAAGTCCGGCTTCGAATGGCACGGCGTGCATTTCTGCGTCACTCTTTCAATCGTTTGGATTTTGTTGCCGTTGTTTCATACTGGATTTCGTTATGGCTCTGTATAACTGGAGTAGAGGCGGAACGACATTTGTATGTCTTTCGAATGATGAGTTGCCTTCGTATTCTTAGGCTGTTGGGGATCACTAGTGGTACTTCTGTGATTCTAAGGAGTTTAAAGAAGGCTGCACCTCTGCTTGTCAACGTGGCATTGCTTATCGGGTTCTTCTGGCTTATATTCGCTATTATTGGAGTTCAGAGCTTCAAGAGTTCTTTTCGGAGAAGTTGTGTATGGGTTGATCCGGAGGGAGTTCAAAGAAACTTTACGCAAGAATTCCAATTTTGTGGAGGGCACCGAAATAGGCTCACTGGGCTGGAGGAACCTTACGTCTATGAAGACGGCACACCCGGGACGAGGTTCCCAAAAGGATATATATGCCCTGCCAATTCATTCTGTGTTTCCAGTAACAATCCATATGGAGGAACAGTCAGCTTTGACAACATTGCCCAGTCATTGGAATTGGTTTTCGTGGTCATGACTGCGAATACCTTTTCAAACTTGCTCTATTATATGGCCGATAGCGACTACTTGACGTCTGCTTTATGTGAGTCCCTCAATATCCTGTATACTAACCTGAACGTGGTACTGATAGTGCAATCCAGTCTTTGCTTGCGGGTATGATCATTTCTCACTGGTTTGGCCATGTGGTCGTGCTAACCTTAAACTAGTGTTGTCGTCTTGGCCTTTTGGTTGGCAAATTTGGTATACTATTAGGAGCCTTATATTATCGTTGATTGCCTTGCTAATACGTCGAATACATTAGTTAATCGCTGTCATTACATCATCCTTCCAAGTTATTCGTGAGGAGTCAAGGAAGAGTGCCTTCGCTGCTGAAGAAGAGTACGGGGCCCTCGAGCCCTTAAGTGTACTGCCGCTAATGAGGGTTTTCTAGTACCTCGTCCAAAGTGGATGAGGAGGAACTTGTTCGAAAACCTAATCCCTTGAAAAATGTGTACGATCGGACATTTTATGTATGGGTCACGGTTATCTCGGTCGGCATCTTTGCCCAAGCTTTCCGTAGCTCGAATATGAGTCGCGGGCGGGAAACCGTTTTAGGTATGTCAGTACTTAGCCGCAAAAGAGGAGATGCTAATTGCAGCGGAAGGCACTGTGGAACTTGGTGTCACTTTAGTGCTAGCACTTGAAATTCTCCTGAGGTTTATGGCAGACTGGCGTAACTTTCGCAGGAAAACCCGGAATCTGGTTGATCTGGCCTTGGCTCTTATTACATGCATTATCCAAATCCCGCCTATTCACAAATCTGGGAGGATCTACGACTGGCTCACGCTCTTTCAAATCCTTCGAGTGTATCGTGTTGTTTGGGCTATCCCTGTCACTCGTAACCTTCTGGTAGGTAACGCATTGTCCGATCTTGCGATTAGAGTTATTAACCTACTGTCGCTTAGTCCAAAGTCATTGGCAATGTGTCCGGTTTGACCAATTTGATCATCTTCGTCCTGCTCCTCACATTTTTGTGCGCCATCTTCGCTGTTCAAATTGTGCGTGGAGACCTCCCGGAAGAGTACCAGGGTGACACTACTGCAGCTTCATTTCATACCATTTTCAACGCTTTCCTGGGCATGTATCAAATCTTCTCCAGTGAGGATTGGACGACGATCCTCTATATGGCTACTGATGTGCAGAGACCCTATAACGTTGGATGGATAACCGCGATTTTCTTTATCGGATGGTTCATCCTTGGGAACTGTGAGTTCATATTAGCCTATCTGGATTGGCATTTACTGATATATTCTCCAGTCATTGTGTTGAATATGTTTATTGCTGTCGTCCAAGAGAATTTTGACGTTACGGAAGACGAGAAACGGATTTATCAGGTTAAGACATTTCTGCAAAACAAGGATTATTCAGCCCCATCACAGGGAATATCGCTGTCGAACATATTTGGATTTGGGAAGCAGAAAACCAAAGAGCCCCATTCCCGACAGGCCGCATTTGAGATGTTAACAAAGCAAGCTGTTGTTGAATCGTTCCTGGACGAGGGGGCGCAACAACCTCGTCAACCAGTTACCAGAGCCCAGCCGCTGCATGCCGCTGCAGAGGACGCTCGCCGCACCGGGGACGTAAAACAAAGGCCATGGGAGAGAATGAAAAATAGATTATTGGGGGTTTTAGGTGAAAAGGAGCCTAATCCATTTTACTCATTCGCGTATGGAGTCCATTTAGTCCATCCTGTGGCAGTGCTGATATTATACTTAGTTTATCACGATCTATTGCGGATCTGACCCCAACAGCCATGGCACAACAAGTGGTGACGGAGCAGGAACGGCGAAGAAAAGCGCAGCGGGAGTATTTGAGGAAATATCCAAACTACAATGTCCCGTTACATATCTTTAGGTCATCTAATCCGATAAGACGTCTTTGCCAGAGGATGGTCGGGCCTAGTCGTGCTAGTATTCGTTATGATGGCTTACAGCCTTACACGCCTTTCAGTTATGCATTCTCAATCTTGGTCTACTGCGCTATCGTTTCTATGGTGATCATAGCCTGCATAACAACACCTCTATATCAGAAAGAGTACTTCGAAAAGCATGGTAGTTCTTTAAGGAATTGGTTCACGTTCGCCGATGCTGGATTTGTTGCTCTTTTCACAATTGAGTCTCTCATAAAAATTGTTGCCGACGGGTTAATATGGACACCAAACGCATACCTTCGGGGATCCTGGGGGGTGATAGATTGTGTTGTGTTGATTACCCTCTGGATTAGTGTCATCACCTCCTTTAGGAATCAAGGCGAGATCTCTCGAGCTGTTGGAGCATTCAAGGCACTTCGTGCCCTACGATTACTGAACATCAGCGGCGCTGCCCAGAACACCTTTCATTCTGTTGTTATTCTTGGTGGACGAAAAATCCTTTCCGCCGCATTTGTCTCACTCAGTTTGATTATCCCGTTTGCCATCTATGGGGTAAACTTATTCTCAGGATTATTAGATACTTGTAATGACGACTCTGAGGGAATTGCCAACTTGACATCCTGCGTTCATGAATATTCCAGCACACCTTACGATTGGGGGGTTTTGGCACCAAGAGCTGTGGACAATCCCTACTTTAATTTCGACAACTTTGGAAGCTCCTTGTTTATTCTCTTCCAGATTGTGTCCCAGGAAGGATGGACGGGTGTCATGTTCGACGTTCAAGCTATTGTCGGAAAGGGTATGATATATCTGTTGATGTTGCGAGCTTGATCTCACTAATTGGGGTCTCTAGGCCAACAACCTCGGCCGTTTTCTTCGCAGGCCAACTCGATATTCTTTCTCGCATTCAATCTGCTTGGCGCTGTCTTCGTCTTGGTACGTACTGGTGGCACCCTCCCGACAAGGCTGATCACTTATTAGTATTGCTAGACACTTTTTGTCTCTGTGTTTATGAGAAACTACACGGAACAAACTGGGGTTGCTTACCTGACATCCGACCAGCGTTCTTGGCTAGAGCTTAGAAAGCTCCTCCGTCAGATTAGGCCTTCGAGGCGCCCTAAGGATAGTCCTGATTTGGACTGGAAGAGTTGGTGCTACAAGAGGGCTACCCATAAACACGGTTGGTGGCAAAGAACATACACAGTTGTACTAGTGTTGCATGCAATACTCCTACTATTGGAGCATCACCCGGCCCCCCCGGCTTTGGATCGCACAAGAGATTGGATCTTCCTGGGGTTCAGTGGTATCTTTGTTGGGAACTTGGTTGTCCGAGTGATCGGCTTGACATGGTCCAATTTTCTGAAAAGCAGATGGGATATCTATGCAATTATCTCTGTCAATGGAACCTTTGTCACAACCCTACTGCTCCTTGCTGGATACCAGGAGAGAACCTTCATTCAGTTGCAGAAGCTCTTCCTTGTCTCCGTGAGTACGGCTCTATTATCCTTTTCCCGACTCTATTTCTAACCGATTGATAGATTGTGATGATGCTGATCCCACGAAACGACGACCTTGACCACCTTTTCAAAACTGCTGCGTAAGTGATGGCCCTTTACGCCTGGTAAGATAGTTCTAATAATTGTCTGCAGAGCGAGTTTGACTGCTATTGGTAACTTGATGGCAACTTGGTTTGTGCTTTTTTTGGTCTATGCCATTGCTCTCACTCAAACGTTTGGTCTCACGAGGATTGGGCCCAATGGGAACGGGAACATGAATTTCAGAACGGTACCTAAAGCATTAATCTTATTATTCAGGATGACCTGCGGGTAGGCCTCGATCCAGTTCCCACGCGATAGATAAGCGACTAACAGTAACTAGCGAGGGATGGAACCAGATCATGAGCGACTTCGAAGTTAGCCATCCTAATTGTGTTTATGGGGAAAATTTCTACGAGAGTGACTGCGGCAGTCAAGGGTATGCGCGTGCGCTGTTCGTGTCGTGGAACATCCTGAGCATGTACATCTTCGTGAGCATGGTATGCATGGTTTTCAAAATTTTATTCCAGTGAAGTCGTTACTGACCTGCACTAGTTTATCTCACTTATCTTCGAAAGCTTCAGTTATGTCTTTCAACGCTCCGGAGGTTCTTCGGTAGTTTCTAGACCAGAAATAAGAAAGTTTAAACAAGCATGGCAACAGTTCGATCCCGACGGAACCGGGTATATTTCGAAGGAGAACTTTCCGAGGTTGCTGGGGGTAAGTTAATTAAGCAAATTCCAAATCCCGACACTAGTGGCATCAAATACTGACAAAATATCAAGACGCTAACCGGCATCTTTGCCATGAGAGTTTATGAAGAACCGTTCACAGTGCCTGATATATTGGATGATTGTAGAGTGGATCCTCAAAGCCATAGTAGCGGCACAACTCGCGGGATCATAGAGGGTGTTGACTTGGAAGCATTGAATAGACGCGTTGCGATGATCCCCATTCATAAGATCCGGAGACAACGCCATATCTATACTCTATTCTACGAAGAGTGTCTAGTGTCGGCTGATAAAGAATATGGGGTGTCCTTCACATCTGTTTTGCTTATACTCGCGCACTATAAAATTATTAATGACAATAGGAGCTTGAGGTATTACCTGTCCTTAAGTGTGAGTCATCCGGGTCTCTAATGTGTTCTAGATTGGAGGAATACCTTCGTCGCCGCTATCGATTGCAAAGAGTAGAAGAGCAGGTGCAGCGGAATATTGTTACAAATTTCTTCTTATCTCTGTAAGTATCGCCTAATGTTAAATATCACACTGCTAACTGCCATTTAGATACTGGAATAAGAGGTTCAAGGATCGACATAGGGCCCACTCCGGTGCGCCGCAGGTTCCTCAGATATTTGTCGACGACGTGAGTTCCAGTAGGCCAAACACCGGCCCAAACGTGCCACAGATACTGGTGGACGGTGGAGAGGCGTCATTAAGCACCAGTTCCACATCAGCACAGCTTCACGAGGGACCAGTGACCCCAAAAAGGCAAGCGCCACCTCCGTTGGACTTGGACTACCATGTGGGCAATAGCCGATCTCCTGAGACATTCGGGATCTCGAGTACACCACAGATTGGTGATTCTGATCCCTTCGCGTCGCCTTTCTCTGCGGAGGAGTCTCCTTCTGTATTGCGACAGAGGCTTGGAAGAGGAAGGTCTCCAGACGTTTCTCCTTCTCTCACGCCGAATGAGAGCCCGAACATGAGCCCGAACGGGAGTCCTGTAGGGAGCCCTCGACTTAGTCCTATTGCAACTACAAGCGGGTGGATTAGTCGAGCAGGGAGCGTTTCGGTAGGTGGTGGATCACCATCAAGAAGCAGAGCGGACAGCGATGTTGTACCCCAAAACGTTCTGGAAGTTCTAGGAAGTTCGGAATGGGGAGATCAGATCCGTTCATACATAGGGAGGTCTGGGGACCAATCGTCCACTCGCTCGAGCCAGGGGGGCAACGCGGGCCCCCGCTAAAAATATAGGGACGTTATGGGATGTTTCGGCATAAGTGTATCATAGTGCATGACTGGCGTTTGTGTGGTCCGTCCATGATAGAAAAAAAAAGGTATTTCATAGCTAGGGTGTCAATGCTTCATACAAACTTGGGTATAAGGGGAAAAGGAAAAAAACTACAAAAAACCGGGGAGTTGTCATGAAAGACAAATAGAGCGATGTGACATGAAGTGGATGAGGGGCCTGCCTTCCTTTAAAAATTAACAGTTATACAAGTAAAATCATAGCAGGCCATATCAAGCGGGCCAATCGCTCCTTGAGAAATTTCGTACGCTCGCTCCCCGCTATCCCGGATCACGCTGAACCGGATACCTCGCTGTCTCGTATGAAACTCAGGTAAATTCTGAATTTCTTTACACCAAAACCTAACCAATTGTCCCGGATCACTCGCTGTACCGGACAGATTCTTCGGATTTTGGCCGTCTGGGACAGCGGGGTGGGAGTGTACAGTACTACCCGTTTTCAAAAGTATCCGGACGCCTTGGCGCCAATACTGCCTGTATTGGCGCCAAGGCGTCCGGATACTTTTGAAAACGGGTAGTACTTTAATGATAAATAGAAACGGTTTGAAATATGTGGTCAGGGTGTGCGGTGTGACCATGTGTAGCATCCAATATACTCGTACAATATCCGTGACAGACGAGCCGTTTCATCCCCATGCATTTATTCCGTCTCCTGAGTCTGCACGAGTACGGTATTGTGATAACGGTCCTCGCTCCGTAACTTGAGTTACCATACTCTTTTTTTTCTTTCAAATAGGAGAGCTCCTTGCTGCTTGTATTTTATTCTGACTTGTAATGTCCGTCGCGATTCCTCCCGGTCCCCAATCCCCAATCCCCAGTCCCCCAGTCCCATTCCCCCCATTCCCTCCATTCCCTCCATTCCCCCATTTCTCTGCCCCTCTCCGCTAAAGAGACATTTGCTGGCCATAGTTTTCGCGATATTATAATCCCTCTCCTTCAATCATTCACCCCCCCCTCGGTTCGCTCTTTCGCTCTCCGGGTGGCTTTCTCGCAAGCCCTGACTCCTCATCACTACCACGAATAGACCAATCAGGGGAAGGCAGCGCCTTCCGTCCGCTCACTCGCTCATTCGAACATTGACCTCGACAGCCCAACTAAAATCAAAATGCGCATCCCTTTACTAACCTCCCTCTCCCCAAAATCCGTCCGCACGCGCTTCGGCAAGCGCAGCCGAACGTCTTCCACGAGCTCCACTTCTACCACCTCTTCTAGCGCAAGCGCGGCAGCGGGCAAGCCCAAGCTGCAGAGAAAACCTAGTGGTTTGAGCCTTTATGAATTGTATTCCGGCAGTCGTGGGGGGAGTACGGGGATGGTTGCATCGTCATCGGTTGGATATTGGTCTTATGAGCAGGAGCAGGAGCGGAAGGAGGAGGAGGGGTTGAGTGTGTTGGAACCAAGGCCTAGGCATTGTGTGGGATTGTTTGAGGTTTTGGAGTTGTAGGACCAAGGTTTAAAGGAGGTCGAAAAGGGAGATGTTTTTTTCCTTCTCACTTTATTCAAAATTTTGGGGTTGGGAGCTATTTGCACCAGTATGTATACATATATGGAGGCTGTGGGATACTTGTGTGGACCGCGGAGCGGGTTGGTTAGATCGGGTTTGGAAAGAACGAGAGGGGGATTCCTTCCATATTTCTTTTGTAATTATTGGGTCAATTAAAGGCCCTCCGCACAAGTCTTGATTCTATTGCGTACCCTCACCTCAACGACAACAGTAAATACTATAACTCAATAATCGAAGCTTCAATTGATGGGTGCTCGCTTGTTTACCATTTCACCAAGACTTTTATGGAGGGACATGACTCGGAATTTTCTGACCACAAAAATGTAGCAATGCTCAAAATCAGAAAGTATGACCTGTACCTGTATCCTCAGTATCGGCAAGTATTCCTCATTCTCGATAGTTTCTGACATGTAATTTAGTAAAACCTATTCCATTTCCATCAAGATAAAACTGTTGATGGAAACTGAGCGAAAGGAAATAGCAGATGGAAGACAGTTGAAGACATTGATAGACCTTGTTTGAAAGGATGTAGAGAAGCACGTTGAAGGAAATAGGAAATGTAAAATGAGTGGGCAATAAATGGAAAGGAAGAAGCATAGGGTAGTGGTTTTTGGTTGATGGACTCACATATGGTTAGCCCGTTGCTTCCTTTTAGGAGATTAAACAGAATCGTTATATGCTTTGTGTGGACGGAATGTTGCAGAAAAGAAGTGGCTCATGTGGTGATGAGGAGAATTTCCTTTAAGTTTTCTAACTAGATGTATCTTTCATCAATGTGGTAAGAGTTGACCGAGGTGTCAGTTTTTGTTTAGATTAAGTAAGATCATAGAAATTTACTGTTTTCCTCTATTATGTGCAACAGTATTACTAGGAGATATAAGATAAAAGTTGCTTATTAAAATATTATTTGTTCTCCAGGGATTAACAGTCTCAATAGAATGGTTTTTTTTTACAACTGGATATTAAAACTAAATCTTTGCTTAATGTTGACAAGTTGAATACAGAAATAAGTTTTCTAACTGGAAGTTCTTTTACTAAGGCCCTGTTTGGTTGAGCTGGGCCCATACAAATGACCATTCACTGTCCATTCCAAAATGGGAGAATTAAACCACTGTTTGGCAACTGTAAAAAGCAGCAACCATTCTATTTAACAATAGCTCAGACCCAACAATTACAATATTGGTGTATTACATCTGTGTACTTATAATAAAATATTTCCAAAATGTAGCCCTCAATGCTAATCAGATTTATTAACAATTCTCAAAGAATACAACTCAATAATAACTGCATTGATGTAGTTATTATTTGACAACAGATCAAAATTGCAATTTCACAGCACCCTATGTCAATACATTCTTTTCCATATAATATGTACATATTTCAAGTTGTATTGATTACTAATATACAAATTCAATCCTCTGAGACCATCCGAGTTGAGTGATAGAGCTGCTTTGTATACCAATTCCCACTTTCTTGAATTTTCATAACTAGATTATTCAATGTAGTTTATTTTTCATTAACAAAATGAACCAACCGCTCAAGGTATGCAGCAACCATAGTCCATTACCCTCCTCCCATTTTTAACCCTATTAAAAGAAATTGCATCAATTCAACCAAAATCCAATCACATTATCTGATTCTTTTTTCTTTAAATACTAGGCTTCCTATTCTTTACAGTTATTCAAAAAAGCCTATTCCAACTCATTACCTCTCTGAGTTTACCAGGGGGAGAATCTTTGGATTACATGAGCCTCAGATGGGATATTAGCAGATTTCTGACTACCTCAATATCTCTCTCACAACTATCAAAAACATAATTACAAAGAAAGACTTAGAGGGCAAGGAGAGGAAGGGTAGAGGAAGACATCCTAAGACTACTAAGTTATAGGATGATGCTATGTTGGAGAAAGCTCTTGAAAATCACAATACTACCTATTTTGAGATTGCGTAAAAGGTTGATCCCAAAGTTTGATCTATAATAGTCAGGAGAAGACTTGTACAAAGGTATCTTAAAAAGTAGTCAGCATAAGAGAGAGTTCACTTGAATGAGGATCTAGCTCAGAAGAGATTTGAATAGGTATTAACTCATAGGCACTGGACAAGAGAGTTGTGGAAGAGGAAGGCAATATGGGGAAATAAGATTACTGTTTAGAGGAGAGGAGGAAAGAGGAGAAAATAGGTATTTAGGTACCCAAAAGAGAAGTGGAAAAAGAATTGTATGGAACCTACTGCTAGGATAGAGGAAAGGGAGATTAGCCAGATGAGGACTGATTTTTTTATGGTCAAACATATGGTCTCTTTTTGCCTGTTTTTCCAGATCCTTCTTCTACTGAAAGTAGAGTAACTGGAAAGTCAATTATTGAGGTTTATCATCAATATGACTTTGTAGAGATAAGGGAGGATATTAAGGAGTATCTTGAGGCTGAAGAGTTCTTTATCATTGACAATGCTAAAACTCATTTACCTTTTAGGAGATGACTCACAGGGTAGGAATTTACTCTTATGGAATTTCCAGCCTATTCACCAGATCTTAATCCAATTGAACATATTTGAGTTCTGGTGAAATATAAGGTTCAGAAGCATTATCCCGACTGATATCTCATAAAGAGCTCTGATAATAAGGTCAAAAAAGCTATTGAGAAGGCTATTTGTAACCGGTACGGGTACTCGGTTATTGGTTTTGTTTTATGTTTTGCATTAAGTATCGCTTTGATACTTGATTTGTTTTAAAGTATCGTTTGATACTTGGTTTTGTTTTATGTTTTGCATTAAGTATCGCTTTGATACTTGGTTTGTTTTAAAGTATCGTTTGATACTTGGTTTTGTTTTATGTTTTGCATTAAGTATCGCTTTGATACTTGGTTTGTTTTAAAGTATCGTTTGATACTTGGTTTTGCTTTATGTTTTGTTTTAAGTATCGCTTTGATACTTAAGGAGTTTTACCAAAGTGTATCGATTGATACCTTTGATTAGTTGCGTTCATGCTAGACATGAACAGATTTGTGTATTTAAAGACCGCCTGTTTCTACGAAAGAAAAGGCAGACTTCGACAGACAGTATTTCAATATACTTGGTTGAACGGTTACTTCTTTGTTCCCCAGTACACCCTCGAAGCCTCCTTTAGTTCTCAGCTCTCGCCTCCTCTCTGGAAGAGCAGGCCACCTGCCAACTATCGTATCTATTACCGATAACGTGATTAGCACCTTGTGAACACATTACATTTTTTTAACCTCAGCAAGTGGTTAAGAACCTGTCCCCGGATTTAGGCCTGATCAACCTATTGATATCCACCTCAGAACGCTAGCGGAGAGAAGCGGCAGAATCAGAGTACATTTGGCTTCATCTCAAACCCAAGATAGAGTTTTTGACGACCAGGAGTGGGAAGCAAATCCCACGGCAAGACCTTACAAGGAAGAAACAACCCCGGCGCTCTGCTAAAGAGCCAGGCGACTCTGCAAACACGGAAGATACACAACCTCCAGGAGAATTCCCTTCTACTCCAGCAAAGAAGCCTTCCTTTGAACCTCTAAACAACCCCGAATCTAGTAGCGAATCAGATATGGCTAGCACAGGAGGAGGGCCTTCTGGAGGAGGGAAATCTCGGGCAAGGCCTGAAGAAGAGGAGGTACCCGCAGCATTTGAACCCCCTAAGTTTAAACTTCACCTCCCAGCGAAGTTCACAGGCGAAGGGAAAGATCTCAAACCTGAAGCCTTTGAACGATGGGCCACAGAACTCTCACACTTCCTACTCTTACAAGGAAAAGATATAGAAGACCCTACAACCGGACTTATCATTGGATCATTCTGTGAAGGAAAGGCAACCGACGCATACCACCAATGCTATAAGGATTTCGGCGGGAATGTAAGATTAAGAGGATCTACAGTTCTCGATTACCTGAAAGGACGATTCCAATCCTCTATAACCAACGACCTCCTATACAACAAATTCAACCAGCTCCAGCAAGTTAACGGAATGCATGTCAAGCGCATCACCGATGTGGCTACGGACCTAATAATGTATAAGGACCGAATGGAGAGAGGAAGTATCTCCAAATACATCCTGAAGCGACGATTCTACGATACTATGCACCCTACCGTCCGGCGAGAAGTAGAACCACTCGAGGAAGATGGCGATGATATTGCAATAATAATTGCAAGAGCAGAACGAAAGGACGCTATTCTCCATGAGACCAAGGCCTACAAAACACAGACATCCTCTAGTAGGAACAGCCAGCCACGACATAAAGTCTCCAGCAACTCTAAAGACGATACCCCACGGGTTTTCAAGAAGAAAACAAAATCCTCCAAAGAGTCGAGACGGCAAAAAGGAAAATGTTTTGAATGTGGAAAAACAGGGCACATGGCAAAGAACTGTCCTACAAAGAAAGGAAAAGGAAAGGCAATTAAGCAAGAGGCGTCGGCCAACAATGTTGAAAGCAATAACGCCCAATCTAGTGAATACGAAGAGATCCATATAGGATATATCGATGTGGAATGCAATAGTGTTCGACCTCCGGCTACATTCAAAGCACACACCGCTCTAGAAGGTACCATCCTGATCAATGGCAAAAGGGCTCGAGTACTATTCGACACTGGCGCGATCGGAAGAGATATGATCAGTAATGCCTTTGTCTCTGTCCATGGACTCCCCACTCGAGACCTTAACCAACCCATACCAGTCAATATGGCAGTAAAAGGATCACGATCCAAAAGCCATAAAACCTGTAGTGCGACCATTTGACTTGGTTCTGCAGTCCTACCCCCCCAGGAAATGCTGGTTGGAAATTTAGCCAAATACGATGCCCTAATAGGCATGCCATTCCTGAACCGCCACAAAGCTATAATCAGGTGTGGGGAATCAACTATCGATTTCCCAGATCAGAAGGTCAGAGTCTCATGTAAGCCAACAAGCGGAGAATACCGAGCTGCAGTCTGTAAAACAACTGCCCTACGACAATTGGATGAGTACTCTGATGTTTTCCCTGATCAAATACCCGAAGAACTACCGCATATGAGAGAGGTGAATCACCACATCCGCCTCCAAGACCCCTCTAATCTAAAAAACCAACCCGCCTACTCTATTCCTGACACATACAAAGGCCCATTTTGTGATTGGATCAACCAACAACAAAGAAGAGGAGTCATCTACCGGGCAGAAGCCCCAGGTGCCGCTCCTATGTTCGTTTAACCCAAAGCAGATGG